ACGAGGGCAGCCACGGGCCTGGGGACACTGTGGTGGAGGTGACAGCTCTGTGAGGCACTTCTGCACATGTGGCACCTCAGAGGCAGCCAGAAGTATGGAGACAAGAGCACTCCAAGCAGCGTAGCCAGCTCAGTCCAGTTCCCCAGCTGGATTCATTCCCCATGGAACTGCCCTCGCTGCCCCATCTATAGGGAATAAACTCTGTTGATGAAGCAGTCTGCAAAAATGGGCAGAGCAAGGGGTGTTGAGATTTGGGGTGTAAGGGGGCAAGAGATGGGTGAAAATTACAATTTGGGGAAAAGGGAGAGGAAAAAGAGAGAAAGCGGAAAGGGGGAAAAGGAGAGAGGTGTTGGAGAATTTTGCTCAGAAATGGCTTAAAAGGGAGCTGTGAGGAACACATTCTCACAGCCTGTTTCTGTAAACAGCTAAGTTCTCAAGCTTGTCTTCAATAACATGGAGGCCTTGAGAACTTTCATAACAGGGTGAGAAAATAAATCTTTGTTTGAATAACAAACCACAGGTATTGAAAACAAAACAAGGGATTGATGTTTTAGCTGTAGCCTATGAGGAGCTCGGATTTTGCAATATTCATGAGTTTAATTAACATCACTATAAAGTGTGTAAGTGAGATCAATAAATCGGAGTTAGATGCTGATCAACAAAGATGGGTCTTCTCCCTTTGCTTTCAACAGAGAGGGAGAAAAAAAAAGGAAAAAATACAACAAAGTAAAAAAGGAAACTAAGCAAGAGAATGAATGGGAGAGAAACAGGAAAAAAAAAAGCATGGTAGAAAGTAAAAAATAAAGATTGAGAATGGCAAAGGATTTGCTTGGAGAGGACAGATGAAGAAGGATATCCCTGGTGTGCTAAATCCCCATAAACACTTGGGTCAGTCACACAGGGGCTGGTCCCGCTCCCTCTGGAATCATTGGAGGAAAAGTTATTCCCCTAAGCACAGCAGTGTTATACCAAAAACCATCCAGAATTAGCTGTTATAAAATAAACTTGGCTTTTCGATCTTTTTTCAGTAGACACTTAGTGGAAGGTTGTTCCTGTGCCTTCAATTAAAAAAAAAAATATCTGAGTTTACATTGTCTGTGTTTTTATCAGCTGATAAATCAGATAGCAGCAACAACAACAA